TGATTGCTTGATTAGCTGTGCCGCTGGTACCCGCACTGCCCATCTCCAGAGTGGATGGCCGACGATCTCTCGACAGAGGACGTCGATCGCTTGATCGATGCRACCGATGCGACCTCGTCGATTGATCAGTCACAGATCCAACTAAGACAGCCATCACTATTTGATGGCTTGAGTGCTTGATTAGCTGTGGCGCTGGTACAGCCATCACTACGTGATGGCTTGATTGATTGATTCGCTGTGCCGCGGGTACCCGCACTGCCCATCTGCAGAGTGGATGGCCGACGATCTCTCGACAGAGGACTTCGATTGCTTGATCGATGCGATCTCGTCGTCGATTGATCAGTCAAGGATCCAACTAAGACAGACATCGCTACTTGATTGCTTGATTGCTTGATTAGCTGATTAGCTGATTGCGTGATGAGCGGGAAGGACAATTATTACAGTTGATCGTCGTCACTTCCCATCGACATGGGAATCCATTCTGAGCTGGGCGGCTCGAGATCCTCATATGAGCTGGGACCCGCAACTGAGCCGAGATCTTCATCAGAGATGGAAAAGTATTCTGAGCTGGGAGCCGATTCCGATCTGGCTTCGAGTGGCGCCTTGGTTGGAGCTGGAGTGCTGGAAACGGCGGTGGTACCTCCAGGGGGACTCCTGGACCCGCCAAGGAAGGTCGGTGACGAAAAGTACGCTGCCTCCTCGTCTGTCAAGACTTTGCTCCACGACACGCGTCCCGACCGATCCGCCCCGGGACCGGTGCACTGGTACTCTGCCGAAAAACTGGTGGTTCCCCAGTTCGAGTCTCCGACCGAGCTCCATCCCTTCGGATCGATGCAATTATCCATCGCCACTTTGATGAAGACCGTTCGGGCGAACTTTCCCCACGCTCTCCCCAGCAAAGCCCTCACTCCCGCATCGCACTTGAGTTGCCCGCCAATGAACACGTAGCCGTTGGTGTCGGTGCTCGACAGCCTCTGCTGCGCAGTGTAAGAGGCTATGGTAAGGCTCCCTCTCCTCTTTGCATACAGCACACAGTCTACGAACTGCGCCGTTGCCGCGCCGAAGGCGAAGTCGACCGACCCCTCGATGTAGCAGTCCTTGTAGTATTGGCGGCCTTTCTTGGCGTAGAGTGTATCTTGCCAGCCAATGAATTGGCAGTTGTAGAAGGAGCTGTCTGCCATGACGGCCGCAGCAACGGCTTGCTCTCCTGGTTCGTCATTACGTCCGTAATCGTTCTTGAACACCATACCCATGGCCACAAATCCGGTCGCCTTGGCTTTGACCGTGAAGGTCGCGGATAGCAACGTGCTGCCCGCGGAATTGGAGCTCTCCCCTTGCACGATCACGGACTGCCCTGGCGTGCCAATCAGAACGATGTTGGGAGTCGTCACCACCACCTTCTCCCGGTATTCACCGGGCTTGACGATAATCCGAGTCCCAGGGCTGGCAGCGTTCAACGCCTCCGTAAGCTTCATGAAGTCCCCCGAACCGTCCTTCGCCACGATCAACCCCGTCACCCTCTCAACCATTGCTGACAACATCACCATCATGCATACCATCCCCACCTCCCTCCACACTCGGCTGCGACCCCTACCCGCCATTTCTCTCTCTCTCTCTCTCTCTCTCTCTCTCTCTCTCTCTCTCTCTCTCTCTCTCTCTCTCTCTCTGTGATACACACACACACACACACACACACACTGCTACGGTGTGTGTATTACAGAGACCTACCGAGCACGATGCGGCAAACTACCGCCTTGTCGGATCAGCGGAATCGGCCACATGGATATAGGCGAGCCCGAGGGCAGCAACTGGAAGGGGGAGTAGAGAGAGAGTCTGGGGAGAGGGCAGGCCGAAGGGACGAGCGTTCTCTCACTTCCTCACCTTGCAGCGTGTCTGTGATTGCCCTGGAAGTCAGACCTGCCCTCCTCGCCGGTCCTATAAACGACACACTATGGGCCTCGCTGCACTACTCTCGAAATGTGCAAAACGAGAGTGAATCTTCCGCTAGAATATGGAAAGATACACGGCCATGATTTTTGTCTTTTGTGCATTTCAAGAGTAGTGCAGCGAGGCCCTATATGCCTGCAACTAAAGTGAGCAGGGCATGGCTTCGGCGCTCTGAAGCCAGTCCTCCAGACAACTTGGTCTACCTGCTCTTCTTCCACGTGACTCCCGCTCAGTTTGCACCTCGATTTATTTCTGACCATTGATCTCCGGAAGTGCGACCTTGCCGCCATGAGCAGTGAGCTTCCGTCTGCTTTCGGGACCATTGATCTCCGGAAGTGCGACCTTGCGACCTTGTGACGAAAGCGACAAAAGAAAAGTGAACAAAAAAAAAAACAAAAACAGGCAAACGCAAAACGTCGTGTGGCGACCCAAACTCGATATACAGAGATGTGTTCGAATCCTGATGAGACCAGATGCCATGCCGCACTCGCGGAATTTATTTCTCTTCCCAATCAAACATTGCAATTATTAGTCCAGAAACAAGGGAGATGTGTTCTGAAGTGAGGAAGTGCGACCCTGCCGCCGTGAGCAATGAGCTTCCGTCTGCTTTCGGGAACCCCGATGTGGCGAAAGCGACAAAAGCAAAGTGAAGAAAAATTAAAAAACAGGCAAACGAGAAACGTTGTGTTGCTAACCGAACTCGAATATACAGAGATGTGTTCGAATCCTGATGAGACCAGAGGCCATGCCGTACTCGCGGAATATGTTTCTTTTCCAAAGCAAACATAATATTTTCTAGTCCAGAAACAAAGGAGATGTGTTCGAAAAAGACGTAGGAACAGAAATTTGCCAAGACATCCAGCGGCCTAGCTCAGTTGGTAAGGCACGCAAGTGGCATTCAGGAGGTCTTGGGTTCAATCCCCATTCTGGGCAAGCTTGGCGCCCGCCACCTAGAGATATGCCGTTGGTCCCCCCGAGTAGCATTGAGCAGAGACTGCTGTTGGTCCCCCCGAGTGGCATTGAGCAGAGACTGCTGATGTTCATTGGGGGAGGGGACGGGAGGGGAGGCACAGTGACTGGCCCATGGAAGAAGCTCGGTCCTGATGCTACCGGCTGACCCCTGGCCGGTATCGCCCACCTGCTGTAGCAGGTATCGCACCTGCTGGTGGGTGTGACTGGCCCATCGAAGAAGCTCGGTCCTGATGCTACCGGCTGACCCCTGGCCGGTATCGCCCACCTGCTGTAGCAGGTATCGCACCTGCTGGTGGGTGCAGCTCCTGCATGTTCCCTCGTTGGAGGCTTGAGCACGGATGTGGCTGCTACGGGGTTCCCCATAATACATACTTTAATGACAAAAAAAAAGGCCTGAAAGGCCGTCCCGTCCAGATTTGACAGGTAATTGAATTGGTTGGGCTTAAAGAATTAGCCTTTAAAAAAATTAAAAAATAAAAATTTGCCAAGACTGGGCATCTGTCCTGAATCTCAGGCCCTTGGAAGAGAAAACCGCCTGAGGTCAGCAAAGCCAAGCAAGTCAAAGGGCCTCGCCACACTACTCTGGACTTGGCCATTTTTCGGGAGTGCAGCGTCGCCACACCAGCTCCCGAGTTCAACCTGTCAGATTGAATTCGGGAGCTGTCAGAATGTGGCTCCCGAGAGCACTCCCGATATTGCTTGAGCCTCCCGCCTGTAAAAGGCAATTTTCGGGAGACCTCGGAGGCTTGTGACGCTCAACCTCATGCCCTGTCCTGTCTTCCGGTCGGAGGAACGTTTGGTCCACATGGCACGAGCAAAAATCAGATGGCGCCTACCTAATCAGTCCGTTATCCGATCATGGAAATAAGCAGACAGCACACCATGCATCAGTTTCCAATCATCATGCAATTTAATCCAATGGAGAGAATGATCAGCTTACATTCGTGCGGGCATTAACTTATTCCCATAGAAGGAGCGATAGCTCCTTCGATACATACGAACAAGGATTACTCATGCATTATCAGGCGCTAGGGAGCATGGAAAAGAAAGGGGTGTGGCAAGATCGCTCAATGTTGCTGGCCTCTCAAATTCAACGATGCCCGTCCCCGCGGGATCCTATTGAATTCAACGAGGGGAACAAGCCAAAACCTCAGGAACTCGTAGGGACGTAGGAACTTTGTCCGAACATTCAGCCATTCATGACGGAAATACCGAAAAGGAAGAGAAAGAGAGAGGGAGGGAGAGAGAGCGAAGATATCACTGGAGATATAGCTTGACATGAGAAGGAGAGTAAAGACAAAGAAAGAGTAGTAAGCACACAAAATAGATCTGCGGACTGAAACTGGCAATCCTTCCGCTCTCTGACGCTTTGACTATGAACCCAGGCCATACAACCTCTCCATCACAAGCATGTTTCCATACCCTGGTACTGGCGATCCCGGCCACCACATATCAACCACCACACCACAGCGATCGTCACCCCGCCAACTCAGCTCCTACACCGACTTGCCCAGATCCCACARTTCATCGCGGCTACCTKGCACTCAACCTTGCGGAGCCACCGTCAGCTCGTTAGGACTTTCMGAYCCACCATGCATTCCCATCACCTAGCCACGATTTCCCGGAAGTTGGCAGATRGGTTGAGAGAGAGTCTTTCGAAAGCGCTTGCGGATTTAACAGTTGCGAGCAGGGGGGCAGCAAAGGGAGAAGCATGGGGTAAGGATTGCGAGGAGTGAAGGAGTTCRAGATGATCGCCCGCGGAAAGCCATATCGATCTYGCAGGCTCTCYRTGCAGCCAATCAGATTACTTTGTGCAGGGAGAAGTTTTCTCCTTACACGMCGTCGATCAGTGGCTTCGAATACCTTGGGCGGCATCGGTAAGGAGTTCCGGTATCGGGATGTAGGCGGGAAGAAGAAGAGCACGAAAAGTAGCATGGAGCGGGTCCAAGATCCAGATTAGAAGGAGTGAGGGTGCAGCATGAGAGAGAGGGAGGGGATCAAAACAGTTACAGACGAAGGCGAGAAGGCGCGAAGAAATGGAGACGGAAGATGTCACGGCCCACGGGCTTTAGCGAGGGAGGGGGCAGGGGGAAGCTTGCAGATACTTCGCGAGTGCTTGAGAGAGAAGAAGGTCCTCCAAGCAGTTGCGTTCCTTCCAAAAACTATTTCAAGAATACATAATTCAAATGGTATACCAGCATGCGCGTTTGAGCACGCAAAAATCCTACATCTGTCCAGTTGCCAACAAAAAATTCATTGATCTTTCGAGAGCGGGTACGGGGAATTCTTGATAAACGAAATGACACGTCAACGAAAAAGACGCCTGTAAATCTCGGAATTCCCAACCGTTGAATAAAAATTTTTCGCATGTTCTCTAAGGCGCGCGTAATTCCTAAGTAAGTGCATGAATTTCTTGAAGGGAATCGTCCCGAAACGAAAAGATAAAACGTCGACGTGGATTCGAGAAGGCCTGATTGGCTGACTACTTTCGTATAAACAAAAGAGAAAAGAGAGAGGGGGGGAGGATGTTTCTACAAAATTTGGTAGACTACAAAAGATAGTTCGGGTATGGAAAATAGTTTGTCATATGTTTGCATTTCAACCAGAAAACTCGTGCGCAGATAAGCATTTTCCTCACAATTTTCGTCACCACATGTTGGACAGTGTTGGACAGTCTCTGTCTGAAGTGCACCTCCCGACCTCCAAATCGGAGTGCACCCCAAGTCGGGAGTGCAATGTGGCATCGCGTTTTCGGACGTTCCGGAGTACTCTCCAAATTTTTCTCCAAGTCGGGAGTAGTGTGGCGAGGCCCAAAGAGTCTCGACGGAGTCGCCACACTACTCTCCGCTCTCCAGAATAGGGGCCTCGCCACACTACTCCCGACTTGGCCATTTTCGGGAGTGCAACGTCGCCACACCAGCTCCCGAGTTCAACCAGTCAAGTAGAATTCGGGAGCTGTGAGAATGTGGCTCCTGAGACTCCGAGAGCACTCCCAAAATGGCTTGAGCCTCCCACCTGTAAACGGCCATTTTCGGGAGACCGCTAGCAGAGGCCTGTATTTCGACCAGATAATGCGCAGACAAGCATTTCCCTCACAGTTTTGGTCGCTGCATGCTGGACAGTGTTGGACACTCTCTTTTTGAAGTGYGCGTCCTGGCCTCCAAATAGGAGAGTRSCCCAAACCCGGAGTGCAATGTGGCGAAGCACACTCCCGAATGCTATCATGTTTTGAACACGTTGAACACGCGTTCATTGAACGCGGCTAGACGCGTTTGACACGTTTGCGCAGGGCACAGGGGTGTCGGCTGGGGGCTGTGTGTGTGTGTGTGTGTGTGTGTGTGTGTGTGTGTGTGTGTGTG